TCGCCCAATCATCTCTGCTTCCTTTCTCGCCCAAGGCAGTGAGTTTAACTGTAGAATTTTTCCTCGGTAGTATACATCACTAACGTCTGGCTCTCCTACGATCAGTGCACCGGTTTTACTATGGTAGTCTGCTGGACTGAGCTGAATCAACTTAAGAGTCGTCAAGGAAGGGACAATGCGAATCCTGAAAGTATCCGATAAATACTTTCCATTACCATCCTTTAAAGCAGCAAAAGGAATAGGATACAACAAGTTATCCGGTATAATAATGATTTCTGATTCTTGGAGTAAGTCAGCTACAGGAGCGACTATCATGTTGTAACCATCAGCAAGGGTTAAAGGTTTAGAGTCGTGATTTTCGTCTTCCTCTTCTTCGATAAGACGCGAAGATTCGAAGCTGTCACTCTGAGATTGTTTGCATGATAGCGGGGAACTTACACATGAAAATAATGATCGATCTTCGCATTGCTCTTGACGTAAATCAAGAGACCCACCAAATGTCTGATTTTCAAACACTTTATCTGCCCTTTCTTTGAGTCTCGTTTGTCGAAAAACTATCATTTTGTTTGGCTTGAGGATCCAAAAAAACATATCATCATCGAAGCAGGAAACATAAAGACAAGAACTAAGGGCATTTTTGTTCATAATGTTCTCAATACCAATCCATGACTGTGGGTTGACTGATACCCCTTTTTCCACAGAGTACTTCTCTGAAAGTACGTCTGTTAGTGCTCTGGATCGTCCAAGCTCGGCAACGTAAAGAGCTGTATAATAACTGCCTGTAGCAATTGCAAACCTACAAAGAAAACGGTAAGCGCACACATGCATATCAAAAAAAGAAATTTTGAATTGATCTTTCACTCTTAAAAAGTCATGCATTTCTTCGCACTTCAGAATGCTGTCATACAGATTTCGCAGAAGTTCAGTTATGCTTCCTCCTGCTTTTAACTCGTTCAGAGCAATGGTAAGGTGGCTGTGAAACTGCATTTCAATGTCCCCTATTTCGTAACTTATCTCAAGTGCTTTATTAGCAAATTCTTGACTCTTTGCAGTAAGTTGAAATTCTGGACAAAGTTTTGCCAGATTTAAGTATGAAGCTCCAACACCAGCTTTGTCTCCGATTTCTTGTTTGATGACTAGTGCTTTTTGAAGGTATTCTTCAGCCTTGGTATATTGACCAACAGATTGAAACACAGTTCCTAGATTTCCGTAATCGACTGCTTCTCCTTGTTTGTCACCGATTTCTTTCCTGATGACTAGCGCTTTTTGAAGGTATTCTTCAGCCTTGGTATATTGACCAACAGAAAGAAACACAGTTCCTAGCTTTCCGTAATCGACTGCTTCTCCTTTTTTGTCACCGATTTCTTTCCTGATCACTAGTGCTTTTTGAAGGCATTCTTCAGCCTTGGTATATTGACCAACAAATCGAAACACAGTTCCTAGATTTCCGTAAGCACATGCTTCTCCTTCTTTGTCACCGATTTCTTTCCTGATCACGAGTGCTTTTTGAAGGTATTCCTCAGCCTTGGTATATTGACCAACAGATCTAAACACAGTTCCTAGATTTCCGTAATCGACTGCTTCTCCTTGTTTGTCACCGATTTCTTTCCTGATCACTAGTGCTTTTTGAAGGCATTCCTCAGCCTTGGTATATTGACCAACAGATTGAAACACAGCTCCTAGATTTCCATAACCCGTTGCTTCTCCTTCTTTGTCACCGATTTCTTTCTTGATCACTAGTGCTTTTTTAAGGTATTCTTCAGCCTTGGTATATTGACCAACAGATTTAAAGACAGCTCCTAGATTTCCGTAATCTGCTGCTTCTCCATTTTTGTCACCAATTTCTTTCCTGATCACTAGTGCTTTTTGAAGGTATTCTTCAGCCCTGTTATATTGACCAACAGATTGAAACACAGCACCTAGATTTCCGTAAGCAGATCCTTCTCCTTGTTTGTCACCGATTTGTTTCTTGATCATTAGTGCTTTCTGAAGGTATTCTTCAGCCTTGGTATATCGACCACCAGATTTAAACACAGTTCCTAGTTTTTCATAATCTGCTGCTTCTCCTTTTTTGTCACCAATTTCTTTCCTGATCACTAGTGCTTTTTGAAGGTATTCTTCAGCCTTGGTATATTGACCAACAGATTGAAACACAGCTCCTAGATTTCCGTAATCGACTGCTTCTCCTTTTTTGTCACCAATTTCTTTCCTGATCACTAGTGCTTTTTGAAGGTATTCTTCAGCCTTGGTATATTGACCAACAGATTGAAACACAGTTCCTAGATTTCCGTAATCAGATGCTTCTCCTTCTTTGTCACCGATTTCTTTCCTGATCGTTAGTGCTTTCTGAAGGTATTCTTCAGCCTTGGTATATTGACCAACAGATCTAAACACACTTCCTAGATTTGCGTAAGTAGATGCTTCTCCTTCTTTGTCACCGATTTCTTTCTTGATCACTAGTGCTGTTTGAAGGTATTCTTCAGCCTTGGTATATTGACCAACAGATAGAAACACAGTTCCTAGATTTCCGTAAGCAGATCCTTCTCCTTGTTTGTCACCGATTTGTTTCTTGATCATTAGTGCTTTCTGAAGGTATTCTTCAGCCTTGGTATATTGACCAACGGAATGAAACACAATTCCTAGCTCTCCGTAATCTACTGCTTCTCCTTTTATGTCACCGATTTCTTTCCTGATCACTAGTGCTTTTTGGAGGTATTCTTCAGCCTTGGTATACAGACCAACAGAAAAAAACACAGTTCCTAGATTTCCATAATGTGATGCTTCTCCTCGTTTGTCACCGATTTCTTTCCTGATCACTAATGCTTTTTGAAGGTATTCTTCAGCCTTGGTATATTGACCAAGAGATTGAAACACAGCTCCTAGATTTCCGTAACACGTTCCAACTCTGCGATTATTTCCAGCCTCAATCATGATGCTGAGTGCCTTCTCGTAAAACTGTTTTGCTTCCTCGTATTTGCTTCTTTGATAGTAGATGTTCGCTAGTTTAAGTAATGTCATCCCTTCTTCTTCTTTTTTGCCACTACTGTGTAGTATCACTAGAAGCTTTTTACCACATTCTATCGCACAGGTGTGATCGTACACACGAATATAGCCTTCCAGAAGTTTGTGGTATACATAGATAAGACGTGGTGTGGTAAGTTCTTTGATTGTCTCTAGGGCTTTACCGTTAAGGAGCACCAAACATTCGTTAAAGATGTCTACTGCTTTTATAATACGTCCAGTGTTGAAAAGGAAAGTTGCAACAACTGCACCAATATAAATGGCCTCTAGAATCTCCGAGATGTTGTCCATTTCGCTTTTTTCTTAACCTTGAGAAAAAAATATTTTAAGAGTAAGAAAGTGGAAACAAGATTCCTAACGTCATTGTAACTGAACAGTTAAACTTCTTAGGCAAGATAATCAAGCTTTCATGTAAGATTTACTGAGGTAGGTCAGGATTATAAGTGTTGGACTATCTTTTCTTTGGCCTATTCTATACTTCTTGAATCTGCAAATGCAGAATATTTAAATAAATAGTTTTGCGGGGTAGTTTGTAGCCTACTGTTTACCACCATACACCGTACTGTTAAAAATTCTGGAAAATAAAACTATTTCAGCCACAAGCTTTTGCAACAACAACGAGCTTTATTTGCATGACCATAAGTTCATATAGTATTGCAAAAGCTATTTTAAGAAATGTAAAAAATGTAAAATTCTATGAGACATACCGTACTTATTCGAATAAGCGCCAAACCTCGAATTAGCGCCCACCTCGAATAATCGCCCACTCTCAAAGTCCAAAAATTTAATAAGCGCCCAGGGCGGTAAATCGAAAAAATACGTTATATATTTTAGGATAGCTCTTTGTTAAATTGTAAAGAAGAGGAATTTGTATTTAAAGGCTTTCTACTTTGTTCCATTTTTAGTTCTGACACATTCGTCTTCTTTAAGACTTAAAAAATATTAAGGCGAAATGGTTTGGTATCTCATTGGTGTTTATAAAATAAATAGAACATTACATGGCCGCTTGGAGATACGAAATTTCTTTTCTTGTGTTGAAGAATTTTTCACTCGTTTGCTGCGCTCACTCTGTCAATTTTTCACTCGTTCACTGCGCTCAACTCGCTCTCCGCGCGGCCATGTAATATCCTCTATCACTCAACTAAACAGAGACTGTCATTGGTTGATTCTTGGTCACGTGGCCTTGACTAAAATCAAATGTATCCCGATCGTGATACATGAAGCAATGCACTCCGCTCGGGGTACATTGCAGCACGTGATCAAAGCATGGTGGAAAGTGGAGTGACAGGAGGGGGCAAAAACCAACACTGCCAGTTTTCTTTTTCGTGAATGAACACAACAACAAAAACACGAAGCCTCAAGCAAAAAAGAAAGAGTAATCCCAGAAGAGAAACAGCAGCTAGTGGAGGAAAAAGATGCAGATAATATAAGAAAAGTACTTTGTAAATCATTCATTCAGTGGTTTTGAGAATTAAATTTGTGTTGTTATAAGTACCGAGTCGACTGTTTTGGCTCGCTCCGGTTATTTTTTTGTTGCTGTTGAAGTGAAATTTCTAGAAATATAACAAAACACATAATGTCAGGTTCCTCGGGAAACCAGTTAATTTTGTTTTCCCTCGAGTTCTGATGTTTCTCTCGACTTCGTCTCGGGAAACATCAGGACTCTCGGGAAAACAAAACTAACTGTTTCCCTCGGGATCTGACATTAAATTAAGTGTACATTATTATTCATTCAAAATATTGGCTCCAATCCCCCGGCTAATTCCTCATAACCCACTGGCGCTCGCCATATTTGGAAGACGCAAGCAATACACCATCAATTTATATTCCTAGACTTTCACTCAACTAAACAGGGACTGCCATTGGTTGATTCTTGGTCACATGGCCTTGACTAAAATCAAATGTATCCCGATCTTGATATATTTGAGCCGGATTGTACCCAGCTCAAGTTGCTACCCGGCTCGGGATTCATTACAGCACGTGATCAAAGCAGTGGTGGAAAGTAGCGTGATAGAAGCCCGGGGGGGACTCCGCATATGAAAGGGGTGGGGATGCCCGTCGGAAATTTTGAATTAAACCCCTAAAGGAGACCGATCTGGGCGTGGCCCAAGCTTTTTTTGACCCCTAAAAGAGACCATGTTAAAACACAGACAATATATATATTTTTATATTTTTCCCGTGCAACCCTAAACGAGACCTTCACGGCTAAATATGATAGCGTTTTGCTCAGAACACCCTAAGTGAGACCAAAATCCGAAATTTACACCCCTAAACGAGACGACGAGCATCCCCACCCCTTTCATATGCGGAGTCCCCCCTCCCCCGAGAATAGAAGGCGGGAAAAACGCTGCCAGTTTTCTTTTTCGTGAATGAACAGTCAACAGTCAACAGCACAAACATGAAGCCTCAAGCTAAAAAATAACGATTTTCAAAGTCATCCCAGAAGAGAAACAGCAGCTAGTTGAGGAAAAAGATGCAGATAATATAAGGAAAGTACTTTGTAAATCATTCATTCAGTGGTTTTGAGAATTAAATTTGTGTTCTTATAAGTACCGAGTCGACTATTTTGATTTGCTCCTGTTATTCTTTTGTTCCTGTTAAAGTGAAAGTCTAGAAATATAACAAAACACTTAATGTCAGGTCCCTCGGGAAACCTGTTAGTTTTGTTTTCCCTCGAGTACTGATGTTTCCCTAGACGAACTGTTTCCCTCGGGATCTGACATTAAGTGTATAATATAAAATCGATCAAACTCCTTTCCAGACACGGCAGCCTAGCTCTCTATTCCTGAGTTAAGTTAAGAAATGCAAGAATACGCAAAACGTATCCCTGGAGGGATCGGATATTGTTTACTTTTGAGGAGTATCTTCAAGGAAAAACGTACGTTGTATCGTGAAACCATGCCGAGAAATAGGCCAAAGTTTTGAAGAAAGTTTTCGAGAAGGTAAGTTTGTTTATAACAAGGTCTAACAAATTAGAAATATTCTGAATGACTAATAAAACAATTATTGAATTCGGCTTTCGTAAGATGAAAAGAATTATGCAGACCTTGGAGGATGTTATCCACCTCAGCCGATAATATCCTCCTCAATCTGCATTATTCTTCACATCCTACTCAGCCTCATTCAATAATTGCTAATTGGCTAAAAGAACACGTTTAATTCACCATAACCAGTTACTGATGACCAAATTTGGAAGAATTTTGTGTTTAGCGAGGAAATGACGTCAAAAATGCAGCGTTTTTGCAGGTTAATGCACCGTTAACCGAGAAGACCTGCGGACGAGGTCGAGTTATTTTGGTTGTGCACTTGAAAAATGGCGGATATTTCACTCTTTTCAAGAGTAAGAAATAGGCGAAAAAATAGCTAAAAACATGGCAAGAACAGCAAGAAGACGACTCGAAGGGCTACATCTGCTATTTGGAGAATATTTGCGAAGCTGAACAACCCTAAACTTGCGCTATCGAAGACGAACTTAACATCGATGGATCGATGGAGGTAAGAATGCTTTAGCCATGTTTTTGAACTAGGAATTATTTTGAATGAATAATAAAACAGTTATTGAATTCGGCTTTCGTATCATACGAAGAATTATGGAGGTCTCGGAGGGTGTTATCCGCCTCGGCCAACGGCCTCGACGGATAACACCCTCCTCGATCTCCATAATTCGTCATAAGATACTCTGCCTCATTCATTAATTGTTAAATAACAGTAACACTAACCATAAATGTAATGAAAGTCAACCATAAAAGTAATATCCACCATAAATGTAATAAAAACCCGAACCATAAATAAAATAAATTATAAAACATAAATGTACTAACATTTTAACCATAAAATAATGTAGTACGTATAGAAAATCGTATGAATTCGAGCACATATCTTTATTTATGGTACAAGTGACGTTGATATTGGTTAGAGCACTGCACCGGAATCGCAGAGGTGATCTTCTCCACATTCAGACTCTTTAAAGTTCAACACTTGGGCAAAGAAATCTGTCAGGATCGATCTTTTTTCAAGTCATAACTAGACAGTAAAGAAAGTGAGCTCGAAAAACGTCTTTTCTTGGTTGCAGAGTTCGTGTGCAGTGGCCAGCTCTGACAATGAACCCAGAAGTTCTTAGCGACCAAACAATACCTGGGAATCCAGTGGGGCTTACAGTGGAACATCGATACAACGAAGGGCCAAGGGATAAGTAAAACGTGTTCGCTTTATTAAGGTTCCACTGAGCCGGGTCAACGCCAAAAACGCCAAAAAGTCCTGGTTCGAATCCTAGCTCGCAGCCATGCTCGAGTTTGCGCTCTTTACTTAGGTATACTCAAGTTTATGCCACGGAAACAGTTGAATTCTGAGTGATAACTGAAAGCTCTCTTGGAAATATTGCTTGCGTTCTACATTCGCTTTACTTTTCAGAATAGACGAATCTGCCAACTCTTTTACAAACTTTTTTCATTTTTTCAGCAGTTATTTATGGTTTATACTTTCCAGGTTACTGATTCAGGAAATAACAAATAATCTCTTCAAATCGTGTTCCAGTCATCCCATACATATTAATGCTTTTATACACTTAGAAGCAAAGTATAGTAACCATACACGTACGAGCAATTTCCTGCAGGGGAGGCGGTAAACGATTTGCCCAAAAAATTCTCGCAAGTTGCCCAAATTTCTACGAAACAACATAGGCCGTACCGTGACATATGAAGGTGGCTCGATACAGTTTTTAAGGGTCAATGCCTCCCAAGTTCGAGCTTAAACTACGTCGCCATAAAAAAACATTTGAAAAAATTGCCACCACAGTTGTATCAGATAAAGATGAAATTTGTCATGATTAGGGTTGCAATGACATCGGAGTTGTCAAAGCAACGAAATGACGCTATTACCTATTTTACTTCCAGCAATATTTCTCGGCACTGGTAACTGTTCTTACAAAATCGTTCACGGGAACTTTTTTCTCCAATACGGTCGCCTCGATGTTCTTGAAGTTAAAGCGGAATCTGTAAGAACGTTATCGAGATATTTTGGGATGAAGTTTTTATCGTTAGAAATACGGTAAAACAGGAAGATCTTGATGTATGACAGTTATTTGTAGCAAACGAAGCGCTTTTGACCATGCAATTTCACCTCATAGTGGTTTAAAAACGTGTGTGAAAGATCGTGAAGATAGCTCCGGCCGATTGCTAGAAAAAAGGATTTGATTAGTATGTATTGAGACGCTCTTGTTAGTGGTTTTCTAAACAGTCGGTCTACTTTAACATATAAGCGAATAATTTTTAAACCCCTCGATAGTTTTTTTT